AGGGTGGAAAATAACTGTATGTATAAACTTGAAGTCAGAATTATTAGCCCTCCTGAATATTAGCAACATTTTCCTGCCCAATTTCTGTTTCATGGAAAGAAGTTTTTTTTTTTTTTTTTTTTTTTTACTTATTTCTGAACATAATAGTTTTGATATCTCATTTCTAATTACTCATTTCTTTTATCTTTGCTATGATGACAGTAAATAATATTTTACTATATATTTTTCAAAATACAAGCAAATGCTTAATTAGGGTAAATAGACAAGTTATTGTATAACAGTATTTTCTTCTGCAGACAATCAAAATATATATTGCTTAAGGGGGCTAATAATATTGACCTTAAATTGGTTTCAAAATATTTAAACCTGCTTTTATTCTAGCTAAAATAAAACAAATAAGCCTAGAAGAAAAAATATTATAGGAAATACTGTTAAAATTCCTTGTTCTGTTAAACATAATTTGGGAAATATTAATAAAAAAAATTCTCAGGAGCGCTAATAATTTTGACTTTAACTGATAATCGTTTTGAATAATCGTGATTACAATTATGACCAAAATAATTGTGATTATGATTTTTCCCAAAATCGAGCAGCCCTACTATTATATATGTATTTTTAAATACCAAAAATAAAATCAAAACACATGCTTAAAATTCCAACATAATAGTAAAAATAATTAAAATTAATAACTTGTGCTTGTCCAACGTGTGGTAAAGGCAAAATCAAAACAAATATGGCAGAGAAATGTAAATGCAGTGATTCTTTAGGCGAAGAAAAAGATTAGACAGTATGACAAAGCCGACCTAAATTTTGGTTTTATTGAAGGCCAAGACAAGTTAAAACTGATTAATTTATATTTTCTATACATATTATATATTGATATTACACAAACACACACATACACTATATATATATGCAAAGAAAAAGATTGGGAACCACTGAACTAGAGCACCCAAAGGAAACCCATGTGAACAGGGAGAACATGCAAACTTCACACAGACATGCCAACTGACCCAGCTAAGGCTTGAACCAGCGACCTTCTTGTTGTGAGGCGATCGATTGGGAAGGGGGTGTGGAGAATACTAGAACTGGGGGACTGTATAGTTTACATTATAACACCCACATTTCATCACATTTTCCAAAGACCTTTACTTACACATATAAAAAAAAAACATTCCAAAAACCCATAGAAACATCTTAAGGAAACCAGTGGTGGATTTTGACATCACAGCACCAACACTACAGGAACCAACCAATTTACACACTTTCTGTAAGCTGTGTCGAACACATTGCTGGACATGCACACAGAAGAACAGTGATATACTGAAGCCTGTTGGCTTCTATGATTGACACTAATCAATGATTACTGAAGTTTCTGAGAGAAGACACAGGAAAACCTCCATTCCGGCTTTCACTTTTCTTTCCGGGTCTGCTCAACATCACTGCGTGTGCATGTGTACACCTGTGTGTGATTGTTCTGCCATCCACTGATGTGTTTCAAGTATGGAAAGGATCTGCTTTTATTAGCGCATATTCAAGATGACAATCCTGTCGCCATGAAAGAACAAACTCCCACACACACTCATTCATTCAACACACACACATGTGCCGGACCATCTGACTTCCTGTCTCTTTAAAGAAAGCATGTGACAGCATCTGCTTTGATGATTTCCTACAATGCCATTAAAATATGAAAGCGGAGATTAAAGGACAGAAAGAATGAACACGCTGCTCTGTTTTAGTTGAAACAGGCTTGAGGCGTTACAGCAGAGTTTTGGCTTCAGGAACACACTGGATGTTTCTAAATGAATCAGTTAATTCATGTTTCTGTTAGTCAAAACAAGATTACGGCGCAGCTGTGATGGATTGTGAGAACATGCGGCTCTGTGTTGTCCTGTAAGCTCTGGATATTCACTCGGGCAGTTCGTATCAATATAAACTAATCCACAAACAGCATGTTAAGCCTAGTTGGGATGCTCACAATAATAATCTCATGGTTGAACCGCATTGTCTTTATTTTTCAACACAACAGGAAGATCCCAGGCTCTTCAGTCTGAATACAACTCAACTGGATATGTTGTGCATAAACTGCATTTGTATGGACACTGCAATAAAGCAATAACTCATGCTTTTAAAATGTGATGTAAACACTTCAGTTAGATAGAAATTGCAGCAGTCAGATGTTGTGATGTCAGACTAATTTGACTTAGATAATGCAGCACACATGCATATTCATCAAACTACAATCTGCCTCATTTATTTGTTTACACATTGTGTCATGTGAACTTGGACAGACAGACGGCTGTATGTAACTGATTATAATTTCATGACATCAGGGTCGCTTTGAAGGATATGTTGTGCTAAATGGCAAAATTAAAGAGTTTGTAGTGTCCATCTCTTTAGAAAATGCACACGTACACGCATGAACACAGACACAAAAAGTAAACTACCAAAAGTTTGGGCTTAGTAGGTGTTTATATTTACTTGAAAGTACTCATTCATTCATTCATTCGTTCATTTTCCTTCAGCTTATTCTCTTTAGTCATCAGGGGTAGCAACAGCAGAATGAACCGCTTACTTATCCAGCATATGTTTTACACAGCGGATGCCCTTCCAGCTGCAACCCAGTACTGGAAAGCAACCATACAACCTCACATTCACACACATACACTACGGACAATTTATTTTATTCAATTCACCTGTAGTGCATGTTTTTTTTACTGGGGGGCAACCCGGAGCACCCGGAGGAAACCCACGAGAACACGGGGAGAACATGAAAACTCCACACAGAAATGCCATCTGACCCAGCCGGGACTCGAATCAGCGACCTTCTTGTTGTGATGCGAAAGTGCTAACCACTGAGCCAACATGCCACATCTTGAAAGTACCCACACTTTTTATTAAACTAAAAATAGAACTGTATCAAAGTTAAGTAACATCTTGCAAGTAACAAATATCTTCCAGAAGTAAGTAAAAAAAATTACCCTTTGAATAGAATTTTTTTTGGTTCTGTGACTTTATTGCCAGATTTTTTTCCTCTTACAAATATAATAATAAAAAAGTCTTTATTATTTTTTTTAAAGATAATTGTACTGGAAAAAAAACAAATACTAAAATAGTTTAATATCAAGTAAATTAAGTCTATAATTAATCATTTTTGTAGTCCAAATTTGCACACCTGCATTCAACATTATTATGTAATATATTTCTTGTGCGCCAAATCAGCATATTATAGGGATTTATAAAGGATCATGTGGCACTGTATACTGGAGTAATGATACTGAAACAGGAATAATATATACATTTTAAAAATGACTGTAAATATAACAGATATTTTAAACAGAAATAAATCTCCAGCCTCCTCCGAGGGGAGGATCCCGAGGTGTTCCCAGGCCAGCCAAGAGACATAGCCCCTTGAGAGTGTCCTGGGTCTTCTGGTGGGAAATGCCTGGAACACCTCCCTAGGTAGGCATCCAGGAGGCATCCAAAACAGATGCCAGAGCCCCTTCAGTTGACTTCTCTCAATGTGGAGGAGAAGTGGCTGAGCTAGTGAGCTAGTTCCAGGTGAAAGAGCTCCTCACCCTATCTACGGTATAAGGGTGCGCCCTGTCACCCTACGAAGGAAACTCATGTTGGCTGCTTGTATCCAAGATCTTGTCCTTCTGGTCATGAAATTTTCATATTTATATAATTTATAAGGGGGCAACGGAGTGGCGCAGTGGGGAGCACGTTCGCCTCACAGCAAGAAGGTCGCTGGTTCGAGCCTCGGCTCAGTTGGCCTTTCTGTGTGGAGTTTGCATGTTCTCCCTGCGTTCGCGTGGGTTTCCTCCGGGTGCTCCGGTTTCCCCCACAGTACAAAGACATGCTGTACAGGTGAATTGGGTAGGCTAAATTGTCCGTAGTGTGTGTGTGTGTGTGTGAATGACTGTGTGTGGATGATTCCCAGAGATGGGTTGCGGCTGGAAGGGCATCCGCTGTGTAAAAACTTGCTGGATAAGTTGGCGGTTCATTCCGCTGTGGCGACCCCGGATTAATAAAGGGACTAAGCCGACAAGAAAATGAATGAATGAATAATTTATACTGTATTTTTGATCAAATAATTGGAGCCTTGTCAAACAGAGGATACTTATGGCAGAAACAATTCTTTCCAATCCCAAACGTTTAAACAGTAAATGTTTATCCACCTTGAGAAGCAGTTCATCACCTCAAAGGAAGCTTTCATTTCCAAATAAACATTTTACTGAAAAAAATGCAACTGCTTTAACATCCATGACATTTCCCTTCCTCGCAGATGCTCAGAAACACCTGGGTCTGTTTGTCATTCAGCTGAGAGAACCAAAGCTGAACCCTTGAAACTTCATCTGGAGGCCAGTCAACATCTGCCACACAACCATCTCTGTCACACACACACACACACACATACACTCACTCGCTATAAATAGCTTGTTCAGTCACCTGCAAATGTTTATCTCCACAGTCTCAAAGTGATCGACTTTAAACCATCTAAATGTTCATTCAATAAGATGTGACCTTCTCAGGTAAACTCCAATTGACTAAACTCAATCAAAACAAGCTGCAACATCTGTCATGAACGCAGGATTTGACCTGGTTCATACGGCAGAGGGGATTCAAACATTGTATCACCCTCAATGGAAAACTGTTCTGAATAAAAAATGATACATAAATTGTAATAAACACAGTAAGGAGAAAAATATGCAGAAAAAATATCCCACCATAAAAGGAGACAAAAGAAGGCGCAAGAAAAAGTAAACACTTTTGAGTGGAAATACATGCACATGACCAGCGGACTGACCAACAATATGACTCAACCTGGATCTCTAAGTTCAGTATTTAGCTGTTTTTCTTCTTCCTTTTCCAACATTTCATTCCTCCAGCATCTCATCTCCCTGGCTTACATCAGTTCCTCAGCATGATTGTCTTAACAGAAACGTGCTTGAACAGCGAGAGAGGAAAAGACTGGAGGTTTTTCCTTTACTCACCAGGGTACTGGTTGTTGTCGAGGTCAGAATCTCCACGAAGGGTGAATCCAAAGCCTGCTGGGATGCCAGATGAGGCCCAGTCGCCTTTCAGCACTTGAGAAGCCTGTAACATCAGGCCGGATTTCTGCCCATTATAGATAAAGACTCTGCCACCACGATCCTCCCCGGCGAATGGAGCCCCTATAGCCACGTCTGGGTAACATGGAAAAACCATTTGATCAGTAACAGCATATATACTACATAACCTACGCGATTCTAAACAAGCATGTTTTTGCCATTGAGATCAAATAAAAAAAAAAAATAAAAAAAATACATAATTTTGCAATAATAGTAACTAAAGCCATAAATTGTGAGATATTGTCTCATTATAAGAAAATTTATTGGTTTCAATTAAAATTCATTCATTTATTTTCCTTCAGCTTAGTCCCTTTTTTATCAGGGGTTGCCACAGCAGAATGAACCTCCAACTATTCAGCATATGTTTGACGCAGCGGATGCCTCTCCAGCCGCAACCCAATACTTGGAAACACCCATACACTCTCATTCACCACATGTTAATTACCACATGTCTTTGGACTGTGGGGGAACCGGAGGACCCACGCAAACAAAGGGAGAGCATGCAATCTCCACACAGAAATGCCAACTGGCCCAGCCAGGACTTGAACCAGCGACCTTTCTGCTGTGAGGTGACAGTGCTAACCACTGAGCCATCGTGTCGCCCTCAATTAAATTTACAAATCGGAAATATAAATAGACAAATGTGAGATGTAGGGCCTTTGTTAGCCCAAACTGTATTTTTGGTGTGTCATGTTTTAATAATTGTGCAGTGAAGAATTACTATCAAATGTTATGGGAGTATTTAAATGAATTAGGCAAATGTGATTTACTCATATTTGTGCTCCTCAAATTATTGGTATTTATGCCACTGGTTTTATTTAACACACAATAAAGCACAGATTAAATTTTACACTTGAAATGGCTGCAGATGTTGTTGCTATAAGAGGCACTGCAGAGAACAGAGAGTGCATGGTAGAAGGAAAAAGATATTTTTCCACACATATAAAGTTATTTGAAATGCGAGGAAAAGGGACACATAATTTGAATACATTATTGTCTGCCAAGCAATGTTGTTTTTAATTTGCTTTAGGAATTGAATGACAACTTGGAACCATTATCTGGGAAGATGCAATGTAATGTCTATCAAAGCTTCTTGCAACCATTCATTTTTGGTCCTCTAGCTCTTTTTAATGTACTTGGATTTCACAAGCCGATTTTTCCTGCATTATTTGTGGTCCCATTTTTCCAGAGACAGTGCCGTATTTCAGTTCTCTCATTAGTGTCCCACGAGAACAAGCTAATCAAGGGTTTGATGTAATTAATACTGGTAATTTTCTAAGCGCCCTTACATATTTGTCTAGCCCCCCTTCCCCTAGTAGAGAACAAAAGTCAAATATATCCCCCACATTATGACCACCGACTCTGCTTATGTAATGTAAATGAGATGTTTACGAGTGTTCTTTTTAATCTGCATGTTGTCAGTAAATCACCAGCAGAAATATGCACACCCTTTAATGCTGTTTTTGAATTGCGTTCTCACTCAAATTTGCCCTGTTTGGTAAATCAATTAAATTATGTCATATTTGTGAAATATAAATTCAGATATATGGTTGTGTAATTTAATGATTTGCCATGTGTTCAAAGATTTTAAATGTAAGATGTGAAGGAAAAGATCTGCCTGATGCAAAGTTGATTTAAAATTTTAATGTACAGTAATCCATTCATTATCCTGCTTTTTCTGTACTCATTCGCCAAGTTACGATAATCTACAGAGCAAACCATCATTATACAATAACTTGCCTAATTACCCTAACCTGCCTAGTTAAGCCTTTAAATGTCACTTTAAGCTGTATAGAAGTGTCTTGAAAAATATCAGTTAAAATATTATTTACTGTCATCATGGCAAAGATAAAATAAATCAATTATTAGAAATGATTTATTAAAACTATTATGTTTATAAATGTGTTGGAAAAATCTTCTCTCCAATAAACAGAAATTGGGGAAAAAATAAACAAGCAGTCTAATAATTCAGGGGGGCTAATATATAAATATATATATATATATATATATATATATATATATATATATATATATATATATATATATATATATATATATATATATATATATATATATATAAATAAATAAATAAATAAATAAATAAATAAATATATAAATAAATAAATAAATATATAAATATATATATAGTATATTTTGCAAGATCCAGCTCCATCAGCTCCATCAGCTACTTGGTGAAGCACATGTCTTTGGCTCTAGCACATTTTGAATGGTCATTAAAACTGACTGAATCTACCAGCGCATTAAACAAGTTTATTGTGCACCTTTCAGCCAATCAGAATCAAAAAAGTCATCAGACCATGAAATAATTAAATATACTGCTCAAAAATAAAGGGGACCCTTAGAGTTACATTGTGTTAAGTGTTCTCTTTATTTTTTTTAGCAGTATAAACTCTGATATAGTCGCAATCGAGAGAAATATAGCAATAATGTGACATATAAAGCCTCAGCTGTGATATAAATACCTTTGTTAGATATAGAGTGACAATTGTTAGATATAATAAAAAAGGCTAGCTATTAATTAGCAACATGACATAGAAAACTTCAATGACATTTATTGTAAAACTGTAATACTCCAAAAATTAAGTTTGCTGTTTGTTCAAATTATTTATTCAAAATGAGCTAAAACAACACAATGCTTGAGTTTTTTTAGGGCCAATTTAATTGTTTTATGTTCAATTCACTTAATTTTTTTATGATTTGAATTTTTTATAGATTTTTCTTATTTCAAATAATGCAGATGAATATTAAATACAGAGCATTAACATAAAAGCAGAACAATACAACATAAATAAATACAGTAGATAAATAACGTTATATAAATTGCAAAAGTAAACCAAACCAAAACACATACAAAAAAGAAAAGGGGGAAAAAAAACGGGGGGGGGTTGCTAATATGTTAAACTTAATTATTATTTTGTTTCGTTACATGTTTGCTAACATTGTGGGTCACAGAAATTTAGAATTTTTCCCCATTTATCAAAATAAATTTCAATTCTTCCATGTAAACTATAGGGAGTTTTTCATAAGCTGCAACTCGTCCTAACTCTGAGATCCACTCAAAAATTGGAGGTCGACTGGAGGATTTCCAGTTTTTAACAACCACCCGTCTGCCTAGCATCAGACAGCTCTGTATCCACTGTGATTCCGTTTTATTCATGTGGCTTAAGAGACATGGGTCACTAAGTATATATAAGCTTGGGCAAAAGTCATACTGGGTCTGCAATATCTTTATAAGGTATTCATGCATCTCTCTATTCCATAATACACTGTGATAAAGCCTGGTTTGTTAGTTTGTTGGATCATATTGCTTTCTCACTACAATCGATCCGCTCTAGAGTAAACTTGATTTGTTTCAATCAAGCCAAGACCACCTCATTTAGGTGATCTGGGACCGATTGTTTTGGCGCAGATCCGAGCGCAATTACTGGATTCACATATGCCAAATCAACCGTGCTAACTGGGAAAATGCACCAGGTACCAAAACAAAAGTCTAGGTGTGAAACCACTCTTAGTTGCATTTTGATATTTAAAGTTGAACAATTAGATATATAGTTATATACACAATTTATGAAGTTAAGTTACAATTGAGAACATGAGACGAACAACCGTGAGTCCAAAAATAAAAAAATAAAAAATGAGATAACTATGTGACATTAATTGTATGTGTAAACTTTGCTTATAGAAACAGTTTGGGGATATTTTTGTGTGACCAAAAGTCTGCATTTTAAATGCATTTTAAAAATGTTATCTCCTTACAATTAAAAAGCTTTTGTTGTCTACAAGTAAAATAAGAATATATAATGTTCACAATCCAAATGAACAAATCTTGAAACTCAAAATTTGAAAATATGGATTTATATGGTTCTTCGTCTCAAGGCCTCAATTTAAGATGTAATGTCTAAATCACAAGATGTTATTATAAAGATGTAGGTTTCCATTCTGTGAGGAAAAGTGTGATATGGTTTCATTAGCCAGATGCAAAGTTAAAGAGTGAGGTTTTTAAAGTCCTGCATCACTTTGAATCTCTATACCAACAGCTCCAAGAAAACCAGGATCCACACTAAGTGCTCTACATTTGGCTGTGCTCCAGGTCGTCATTTATCATTTTTTATTGATTATTTCAGCGCCTGCTACAGCGAAGAGGAACAGAGCGATGCTTTCATGTAGAAGAACAGAGGAGGATACTGAAAAAGAGACTGATGATTTACACAAAGCTCCGCAGGGATCGAGAGCTCTTTTCTCCTCGGCACCAAGGGGCTATTACAGAACAATAACAGACTCATGCACAAGCACAAGTCCAAGTCCACTACTACATGGCCAATAAATCTCCAGGGTAGGGTTATCTGTTCAAGTGCTCCTCCTGCCAGCGCCACTGTTCAAGTCATTAACCTACATTTGGGCAGCGATGCATTCACACAAGGGGGAAACTACAGAACCAGAGAAATGCCCATTTAGGGGCAGAGAGGGAGAGAAACAAAGGGACTAAGGGGATGTTGGATAAATAAAGATCTGCATGAAAGAGATCCACAATTCTTTGCACGACTTCTAAAAAGTGACCAGGGGTGAATGAATGATCTGGAAATATTGATGAATTATGAGTTTGATTTGATTTAAAGATGTTTAGTAATGAACTATCATCTTAAATATATATGCAGTTTAAGGCAAGTGATGTTGCACAGAGCAAAGAATTTTTCACAAATTTTTCTTAATAAAAGTCAAATTTCTTCAACTCAGGCTCATTATGGATACGTACCCCTGTATACATTTCTGGACAGTGTAAAATACATCCCAGGAGGTACGTTTTTAGGTAGTTTTTGTTTTCGCGAATCCATCCGCCGCTGTGTATGCTTTTTCAGATCTCAAATTTCTCTTGCAATTTACACCTGCTGTTCTAGTGTAAATCCACCAGAGGCTGCTGTTGACTGACTAACTGACTGACTGACTACGCCACGGCTACTTGATTTCTACCACAATTTCGTATCTTACCACGTTATCACACTGTTATTTACTTGTTCATTTCATTTTTTTTACCTTTTGTTTTTGTTTTACCTGCT